TTGTTGATCTACTGACAGACTGTTGTTGTACTGGCAGACTCTTGTTCTACTGATATCGGGTGGTCTAGCATTGCAGCATGATTCGTCATTTTCAGGGGAAATTTTCAAATTTCATTCAACTTGTTGTTATAAAGACCAGACCCGCACAACATGCGGTCCGCCAGCACCCACTTTGCGGGCCGCGAAGTAACGAAATATTCTTTATTATTATTATTTTCTTAAAAGTTGTCACTCTTGTCCTATTTTCGCCCCGCACATGTTTTCCATAAAGTATTACGGCCCGCCTTACATTTTGAGTTGTGCAGGCCTGATATCAACTAATAATATATTTTGTTTGGAATCACTTCAATGCTGTTACTTACAACTTTGAATAAAATCCCGTACATTTATTTATTTATTTAGGCATTTTTATATAGCGCTTATCATAAAGCTCTAAGAGCTTTACAATTATTAAAACATGTAAACTAAGTAAATACAAATGAGACACTAGGATAGTAACTACTATTCTATAGAAACAATGAAAATGGCTATAAAACGAGGACACTTTGACACTTCAGGATCAACCCGAAACAGAAACATGTAAACTAAGTAAATACAAATGAGACACTAGGATAGTAACTACTATTCTATAGAAACAATGAAAATGGCTATAAAACGAGGACACTTTGACACTTCAGGATCAACCCGAAACAGAAAATGAGGTAGGGCAAGGAGGGTGCATCACAGGTCATAGGCGGACCTAAACAGATGAGTTTTAAGGGACTTTTTGAAAATGGACGAGGTTTCACTATGACGTACATGGAAGGGGAGCTGGTTCCAGAACGTGGGCCCATGGAAGCAGAAGGAGCGTTCACCGATGGTGATGGTCTTAGTTTTAGTTCTTGGGATTGAGAGGGTTCTACTGTCAATGGAAGAACGTAGTTGTCTTGTGGGGTACATCAATTGCAGTAACCCTCATCCACACCACTCCTCATTTTTTGTTTTGTTCTTGTGTTATATTTTTAAATATCACAAAAGATGCCATGCGAAAGCTTTTAAGGCAACTCAGTCTATTTATCTTGGCATAATTTTATCACGGGGGTTGGGGGGGGGGTCAGATTCGAAAAACAGCGTTGGGCCCCCTTCACTTTACAGTCAATAGCCAACGCTGCGGCTCAGTACGAAGTTTACCAGATGCAGTATCACCAACTTCACTATACCAGATAGAAAATCTATGATCCGTGCTCCCTGTTTCCAGGGGCCGTCGCCCGCGCCCTGTAAGGACATCGGCTATCTATTTTAAAAAGCCGTGCACACATAATATATTTTTTAAATGACATTTTTGACCCACCCTCTACCCCTTATAAAGTTTTAGAACATTTCCATTGACCCCCCCCCCCCCCCCCACAATAACCTATGCTAATTTCATTAATTTGAAAGGCTGAGATTTCGAAGGGGAAAAAAAAGAAGAGGAACTCTGGATAGAAAAAGAGTGTCTTACCGGTAGGCCTATAAAACAAGCATTGCTCTGGACCTACCTCCACCCCATTTAACAACAACAAAATTGTGATGAAACAAAATTTAACTGTAAACTTTGTACGCAGTTGCACAAAAGAGAAGGGTGGCAATGGGGATCAGTGATTATTTCAGAAATTTCCCCCCGGGGCGCACTTCAGATTTTTTTTTCGGGGGTGGGGGGGGCGGGCAGTGCCAGTTGATTTATTGTTGGACATATTTTTGCTCGAGGGGGGGGGAGGGAGGGGCACTTAGATTTCCCCGGAGATATGGCTGAAAGAAACCCTGGTGGGGATCTCTGAAAGTCTCGTGACGGTTCCTTCTGTTTCCTTCTTTTAACAAAATCAATTAAATAATAACAAAACCCTCAAGGCTTATTATGCTCAGAAATATGAAGAGTAATCGATAATCTCCCTTGTCCACGGACTGGTTGCCAGGGACATTGCAATGCAGTCGTCATTTATTTGATTGCCTTGTTGCACAGCTTAATCAAAGGGGGCTAATTGTACCAATTGTACGTCATATTGAATGTGGGGAGTAATCCATGTTGCAATGGTTTAACAAATCAATGGGTGTTCACCTCTTAGTTCCTGTCAATTTGTAATGCATTCCCAAATATGCTGAGCTCGGAAAACTTGAATTAGTCAAGCAATTTTGACTATTTACACATTGCATATACAAAATTTAATTAATAGAGGTTTTTAACATTAACTTTTTCAACACTGGCTTCTTTAACTGACCACATTTTATAATTAGAACCTACTGTTTATTAATAATCGTTAAATACTGTATATACAATGATCGACTGAGGAAGTAGTATAGCAATTACTTGGTGTGGATCCCTGCAACAGGTTAAGAACGCCGCCTAAATCAAATACATTATTGTATTCAACTCTTGCATTCCTATTAAAATGATTAAGCGAGTGTGCAGCCCCCCCCCCCCCC